TCGCAGTGCTGCTCTGGATCCCGGCCGGCCAGCCACCCCCTCGTCCCGGGCCACCAAACCGGCCTATCCAGCAGCTTGAGACCTGTGCCACTTGTGCCAGAACCTGTCCCCGGCCCGCGTGGAAAAGCCGGGTGGCCGCGGCGCCCACGAGAGGGATAGGCGTCTGGGTCTGAAGCTACAAGTTCCTTAACCTAGTTCCCAAACCTCAGTTTCCCTGTTGTGCAATGGTGACTTCATCTGGGTTGCAACAAGGTTAAGCGAGAAGAAAGGTCGGGACAAGTGTCAACTGTATTTTCGTTCCTCTAGGTCATGGCTAGTGTTCTTTATTTTACTTCCCTTGCTCGATCTTGTGCTGGCCTGTTTCCAGCCTGGCTTGTCACTGGAACAGTCAAGGCCGACTTTACTCAGAGTCCTGTAGGCGGCTGACTCCTGCTGGACCTGCTCGCGACTGGGTTCTCACTTTTGCGCTATCTATCTATCATCTATTTATTTCCATATGTCAAAGTTTCCCAGGCTGGCCTCGAACTCGTGAGCAATTCTTCTGCCTCCGTTCCCCTTGTGCTAGAATGTCAAGGCATGAGCCACTATGCCCAGCGTGTGCTGTGTGTGTGTGTGTGTGTGTGTGTGTGTGTGTGTGTGTGTGTGTGTCTTTAAAGGTCCAATAGTGAAGTCCTCCTTGCTTTTAAGCATTGCCCTCTGAACTGCAATCACTGTTTGGAAGACAAGAAGGTCAGTTACTTATATATTTTTCAATGATGTCATTGTTGTCTGCCAGCAGCCAGACAGGTGGTGGTTAGGGAAAATTGAAGGTGCAGATGGCGATAACAGGTCTGCAAATGTTGAGTCGGTAGTTTTGTGTCTGAAAAGAAGACTGCCACAACGACCTCTCTGGGACCCTCTTTCCTACTACAAAGAAAGGTCCTTGTCTGTTTGGCCTTTAACCCTTCCACATAGCTGCGGAGACAACCCCGACTGCCAGGGCGGGGAGGAAACTGAGACAGGTTTCCTCCTGGCCACCCACACCTGCCTCACCACGCCCACAGCCGCCGCAGCTGGGACACCAGGAGTTGGAAAGTCCCGGGTTTCACCAGGCCTAACCACTGAGCTCTTTGCACAAGCTGCCCTGCACCGTGGAGCAGCCTGGCATTTCCCCTGCCCGCCCTCTGTTTGCCAGACCTCTCCCTATACCTGTACTGTCTCCCTCTATCAAGGCATCTCCTTTCTTTCCCCTCTATATTCTAACCCTCTCTCAGGCCTCTCCTTTTCCTCCCCCCTCCCCCCTCCCCCCCTCCCTCCCAGCAGGCTCCAGGGCCTGGCACTTCCAGCCATCAGAGCGCCTCAAACCAGTGTCTCTGAGGTGGGAGGAGGGGACTTCATCAGTATCAGAGGCCTGGATTTCCTCTCTTCCCCCAAAAGCCTCTATGGGCCAAACTTGAAGCTTAGTCCTCAGCCCTGGGCCCATCTCCCTATCTCAGAAGTCTCACGCTGTTTCCTTCCTCTCCTTATTTTCAGACCCCCAAGGGTACACTGGGGGTAGCCGGATCTCTCAGAAATGCAGGGTGCTCTTTGAATTGGTGAGAAATGTCTTTAGTTTAAAAGGGGAGAGGAGGACAGGAATGTTGGACACCAATGTCACATAATCCAGATGTGGTGGGTATATGTCTATAATCAATCAGAAGGAGGCTCAGAAGTTCAAGACTATCTTCTGCTACACAGCAAGGTCAAAGGCCAGCCTGGGATACTGAAGGGACCAGCTCCCCATTTCGGCAGCCATAACAGCCGAACACGTATTTGTCTGACCTTGTCTTAGTCACTAAGGTAGATG